TATATTAAATTAGAATTAAATTTGAAAGTGCACTTTAATAACTGAAGATAATCCAGGGGAATTATATTTACATATTAAAAAAGTGCTGAAAATCAAGAGAACTCAGAGTTATAGTTAAAATTAAAAGAAACACAGTTCAGAAATAGAATTGTATGGTTTAGGTGTCTCAACAGCATTAATTCAGCCCTACAGAAACAATGTAAAAATTGCAGTTATCCTGGGGCTATGAGAATTGCCATGTCTGTTATGTATGGGTTACTGCTATAATAACTGACATGAAGGAGGAGAACAAAGATTGTTGAAGCAAGTCCATTGGTTCAGCTCCAAAATACACTGATACACAGATTTTTAATCATATGTATATCCAATATTAAAAGATGACCATTTTCTATTGATGTAGTTCATGTAAGCAATCATGGTATGGCTGTTTCTGTTTGTGCATTTCCCTCCACTGACACTGGAAGCTCTTTGCTCTGTAAAAACTTTGACAGCTTTCCAGCAAGAATAAAAAAAGTTTTGAGTAGAATGTGTTTACACAAATATTTAATTCCAGACTCCATCTGCATGAGGAAGCCAAGGTAAGGAAACTTGAACTCTCTTAACTTCTAAGTCCTTCATATAGCAGCTTTCAAAATGCTCTTTTAGCACAGCAGTTATGTGAACTTATCAATACAGAGAATTTTTGAAAACTAGCTTTTCATCCTAAGCAGAATTTTACTGTAATTTTTTTTTTTTTTTTAATCAATTGGTATTTCAGCTGGTTTTAGACATACATGTTACATGGTATGGACAAGAGGTAACAGCTTTAAGTTGCACCGGGGAAGGTTCAGGTTGGATATTGGGAAAAATTTCTTCTCAGAAAGAGTGGTGAGGCATTGGAACAGGTGTCACCGTCCCTGAAGGTGTTCAAGAAACCTGCAGATGTGGCAGTGAAGGACATGGTTCACTGGGCATGGCGGTGATGGGCTGGTGGCTGGACTAGATGATCTCTATAGTCTTTTCCAGCTGTTATGATTTTATGATTCTATGATTTTATGGTTCTATGATTATTCCCATAGTTATATTTAGTAGCCATTATATGACACAAGAACTGAGTTTCATCAATGACAAGACTTGGGGGGAGCTCATGACCACAGAATGGAAAGCAATAAACGTGAGAATTACACTTGCTCTACACTACTTGCAAATGTTCTTCCTGGGTATGAAAAGAGCATTAACATATCTTTCTCCAATGAGAAAAAAATGGACGTGTTTGTTATCTTTCCGTGGATGACACTGAAAAATCACACTTGATGTGGCTGTCATACAGTAGGTTGGAAGGTACTGAACTCTTTGTGGTGTTCTCTTCGCCCTTACTTGCCATTGAATACACATGTAGGCTAAACAATTCACTCCTCTGAGAGCTGTTGTCACAAATTTCTGACAGTGGTAACTACTTGTTTTGCTTGCAATAAAATACAGACAGCTTGAAGGCCATAACGTGATGAAAGCTGGGGGTTTCTTGTTCAGAGAGCAGGGACACTTCTCTGAACCATTCTTCTCATTGAACCTTGTATACTTCTTGTGCTTTTTCCACTTCCTATATTAGGCCTTATTTTTAAAAGGCCTGGAAAAGGCAATAAGGTAACCAACTTTTGTGATAATACTAAAATATTTGGGATACTATAGGAAATAGTTTGTCTATGTGTTACAAACTCAGTGACTGGCAGGTGGAACTCAGTGGAGATAAGGTGATACATGAGAAAGAATCAGTCCCGGTTGTACATCTAACGTGACAGAATCTGAGCTGACCACTGACACTCAGGTGTGAGGTCCTGGAGCTGTGACAGAGTATGTAGAGAAAACATAGTGAAAACACTGTATTGGTGCACTTCAACTGTCAAGAAAGGAAGTCAATTGTTAACAATTATTAGAAAAGGGGTAAGAAGGAAAGAAAATTACTATGTTGATGTATAAATCCATATTTTTACCACACTTTAATTTCTGTTTACAGTTCTAGTATTCTTACCTAAGGTTGTATAAGGCTGGGAAAGATATAGAGAAGCATCTCAGGTGCAATTGAAGTGAGAAAATGAACATAAGTGACTATATAGGAAAACCTCAATTTGGATGACACAATTTTGGATAACTGCAGAGGAGGAATAGGAGAGATAGAGCTGGGTTCTATAAAAATTATTGTTGACATGGAAAGTTTTGGTGAAATAGATTATTCACAACCTCTTTCAGTAAAAGAACTATGGAAGTCAAATTAGAGTGAAGAGAAGGAGAGCGCATACAGTGAATCTGAGGTCCTACTTCTACACATGTAGATGATGACAGATTTCATAGGCTCTAGGAGATGTTAGACAAATTAATGAAGGAAAAATCTTTTGATAATTTATAAATTAGAAATGACGTTCAAGAGAAAAAGTTAAAAGAAAAAAGAAATGGGGAAAAAATGAATGATGTTGTCCAAAATACACCCAGAAAAAATAAAATACAACTGTTCACAAAAAGAATATTTTTTGATATTTCTTTGTGGACTGTCCTCACCATTACAATAACCAGTAGTAAAATAGATTTTATTATGAGTTCATTGACAAGTGATTCATAACTTTCCCATTGGTCCACGACTTCAGAGAAACTTAGAAACGTTAATGTTGAAAAAGACCACCAAGATCATTTGGTCCAACCATCAATCCATCATGTTCACTAAACCAGATTGTTCAGTGCTGTCTCTCCATGTTTCCTGAACACCTCTAGATTTGGTGGCTCCATCACCACTGTGGGCAGCCTGTTCCAATGCTTCATCACTCTTTCTGAGAAAAAAGAAAATACCTTTGATAAAGACGCAAGGAGCTGCAAGGTTGTTGTTGGTGAAACACACTTGTCTCCTTAGGGGACCAAAGCACAAGGCTGTAGTACTTTAATCTCACAAGGAAAATGAGCAGCAGAAAGAACAGGTAGCAGAAGATTTAGAGTTAGTGGACAGCTAAGACAAAACTAATAAGGAGAAAAAACAGCTTTATTTTATTTGCCATGGATGGTGGAAAACTTTGCTCTTGTAGTTAACCTGGAACACAGTCAGGTAGCTTCATTACCCAAGATTAAGTGAAGAGTAATGATGGGACTTTTGTGGATTTCAAAAAGCAGCTGCTTCCTTCCTTTGTTACCACTGCAATGATTTGAGACTGCAAACAGATGGAAAGGTCACCTGCATAATGGCAAGGGAGGCATCCAGAAAACACACAGTTCTTAGGAAGAAATAAAAACAAGCAAACAATAACAACAAACACAACCCAGACAAACTGTAAGAGTTGTTGGGCTGTGGCTATTTAATTTCTATCAGAACTGCATAGGCAGAAAGAAAAGATTGATTCATGCTGACAGGAAAAAGTAAGGTTAAAATATAAACAGTCTCCTTGGTCTCCTGGAGCCAGGCTCATCTTCATGCCTCTGCATGACATTAGATTCATTTCCAGCTCTGGAAGTCCACAAGACCCTCTGGCTGGAGGCCCTGGATGCAATCTCTGTTTCAGGGTGTATTATGCACAAATGCCTTTGATGAGATCAGATATTTGGCAAGTCACTTGAAAAATATCTGAAGGACTGCAGTGTGCTTTGCACTCCCCTTCCCTCTAAAATTCCTGCTAACACAGGGGCCAGAAGTTAATATGGCTGCAGAAGTGATGTGAATTCTATTCAAGATCTGAGCTTTTACCCTAGATCTCCACATCACTTCAGCAGAACCAAGCACGGCTGCATGGCTCCTGTAGGCTGCATCAAAACCTGTTATGTTCAGTTAGCCAAAAAAAAAAGAAAACTAACAAAACCAGAAGTTGGGAGATGTGTCTTGAGCCTCCACAATGTTTAGGCTGCTGGAGACTGACTTTCTAAGCCCAATAGTCCTTGGACACTCCCCCTAAGTTTGGCTGTGGCATACATCCTGCACCCACATATGTAATGTCATGGCATTAACTCTGTTCATAGAACCACAGAATCATTACGGTTAGAAAAAACAACTAAGATCATCTAGTCCAACCGTCAGCCCATCATCATCATCCCCCTAAATTAAACCATGCTCCTAAAACATGACTTGTTCCACATGGCAGGTAATTGAACATACCAAGTGCATAAAGCAAGAATGTTCCCCACTTCCATCTTTTATCAAAAGAAGTATTTTTCTTCATCCATTATATATGGAGATTAAAGCAGACAGTGGCTCGGTCCACAGCCCAGGAAATATCTGTGTTCCTGGTATGACTAAGCCAGAATCATGGAATCACGGAATCACCAAGGTTGGAAAAGACCTTCAAGATCACTCAGTCCAACCATCCACCTATCACCAATAGTTCTCACTAAACCATGTCCCTCAACACAACATCCAAACATTCCTTGAACACCTTCAGGGTCAGTGACTCCACCAACCAGTGCCTGACCACTCTTTCAGAGAAGTAGTATTTCCTAACGTCCATCCTAAATCTCCCCTGGCACAGCTTGAAGCCATTCCCTCTAGTTCTATCACCAGTTACATGAGAGAAGAGGCTGACTCCCAGCTCACTAAACCTCCCTTCAGGTTATAGAGAACAATAAGGTCTCCCCTGACCCTCCTCTTCTCCAGACTGAACAATCCCAGCTCGTTCAGCCGCTCCTCATAAGGCCTGTGCTCCAGACCCCTCACCAGCTTTGTCGCCAGGTGCCCATGTGTGAGGTTACTTAGAGAAGACATGAAGTACACTTTGGAGCTTCCTGACCGTTAGCCACGAGCTGTCCCTCTGGTCCTGGCACGTTCAGTCTTGGAACAGCTGCACTGTATACTTGGCTGCAATGTCATCCAGCCCCGAAAGTGACTTCTTGGAGCATTTTCCCAGCCAGCAGTGTCAGAGTCACCAGATGAAAATCTTGGCATCTGCACTTGTGTACTGCAGTGTCATCCATGTGTGAAAATGGCATACTTACATTGGAGCCTTGAACTCAAGCACATAAATTTGATACCACAATGATTTTGGGGCTAGGCACTCACTGTTTTTATTACTTTCATGAAAGATTCTGAGATCAAAAGGTGAAAAATAAAGGATAAAAAAATTGCAGTTGAAGGAATGAAAGAGGTGGTTATTGTATTTTTCCTATTTTTTCTGAAGAGCAGTTACTGAAAGGTACCATTATAAGATTATGTTTAATTTACAGGTGAAAACACAGACAAGAATAGCTGCCTCAAAGACTTTTTTGACAGAAAAAATCATGTTGACTTTATATAATGTAAAACAACATCTCTTCCTGAGTCATATCAAAACTGGGGCCTGGAATATTTCACAGAGTGGTGCTTCATAAACTCAGTGTTGTAAAGGTACAATGTAGAGAGAGAAAAAAAGTAGAATTTACTGTGTTTTCAGAACCAAAATCCAATTTTGTACAAGTACTGTGAAGACAGGTGCCAAGTAAACTGTCTGCTCTGAAAATGAGGTCCTAGTTTCTCAGACACTTAGGCGACCTTTTAAAAATATTGACCAAGAGTCTGTACTTAAATCTTTTTAGAGCCCATGATGTGGAAGAAGAGAACACACTTAATTCCCTTTCTTACAGGAATAAAAACTTGCTCATGCTTCTATGAATGCACACCTTTCTGCATTGGTCCAGTTCTGGATCACCTGAGCAAAGCACTGATTTTCATCCCTCTTGCAACACACTGCTATACTTTAACCTTAATCAAGACACATTTACATGTAAGAATAAGAGAGAGGAATTAGATTATTCTTCCCTGAAATTACTGATTTCCACAGCTGCAGTATCCTGGAGTGTAACATAAAGGCTTTTCAGTAATATCAAAGACAACAGCTAAAAAATCTCTCTCTCTCAGTTCCTGAGCCTGGAAATTCATTGGGCGCAGGGTAAAATGTGGTCACTGCTATCAAAGTGCATTGTCTGCTCTGGGAACAGAATTTTGGATGTGAACCAAAACTTTCTTGAGGGAGATATGTTTGTTATTCAGACAGTAAAACATTACGATTAACACCTGATGGAGCATTAAAGAGCCATAAAAATCCTGTTCCCTGGAAAAGATTACTTAGAAAGGGACTGTCTGCACTTTGGCAAGAAAGTGTATCAGATGAACTTTGTCTTCAGTGTAGAGCAGGATTTATGCAGTCACTTTGTGGAACTCGGAAAGGCAGAACTACTCAGTCAACTGCAGACATGAGCAGACAGATTCTGCTTCTGTTCACTCCAACACGCCCCGTCTAGAGGGATCTCTTGTCCCACTTCTAGATTGCAAATACAAAGAAAATCTGCAAATTAAGTATGCCAGTCTCTGCCCCCACACAAACTGAAATGCAGTGATTCCACAGGAACCACTGTGGGCTTCAGATCTGCTGTTTCCCACTGATGTGCCTGACGAAGTATTTCTCTCTTTCACCATCAAAATGGAAAGACACATTGTTGTTTGGAGTCTCACCACCAATGTGCACACAGGGTGGGCTGCACATGCACAGGCACTTTTTCTGATGCTGTCACACTGATCACTTGTAACTTCTGGAGGACAATCCCTCAAAGCATGTCTGATATGACTATGGCACGGTCCCTCATCAGACACAGGTGTTCCTGGAGGAAAAAAAATAAATTTAAAAAAAAAAATCATACATTTCTTCATCTGCTGTTGGATGTCACAATAGCAACATACGTCACAATGCAGGTGCCTTTCTGAAGGCCCCAATCCCAAACAGCCTTCCTGTACCTGTGTCAATCAAGATCTAACACAGACTCACACTGGATACTGATGAACTAGAGCCCAAGGGGGATATATATGCTTAAATTTTCACCCGTGTATAGACTAATGCTCTTTGAAGTTCCCACTTCAGTCTAAAATGGCATATGATCCATTAGGGATATACTATGTGAAATAAAAAAGATTGCTGGGGGTAATTCATTCTACATACTGGGCTACAGCTTGATACATCCTCACTAGACTCTAGTGAGTGTCAGCTGCTGAATTACGAGCTTACATTTTTTCAAAGTGAATAGTAATTCTGAGTGATTCTGAGTTGCCATTTTTGATTGTTCAACTTTAAAAATCTTAAAACCATCTTAAAGAACCAGATAATCTATTTATTTATTTATTTATTTATTTACTTACTTACTTACTTACTTATTTATTTCTGAAAGAAGACTTCAGATGAGAACAAAAATTGACAGCCATCCATGGAAAATCTAGGTCATTGGTGTCTGTTGTGAGATTAAAGTGGAGTTACAGCTACAGTTTTCTTCAAGTGCATACACACTTGGGTGAAACTAAATCCAAATGTAGAATGATAGATTCACCAAGGTTGGAAAAGACCTCCAAGATTATCTTTTCCAACCATCCACCTACCACCAATATTTCCCCACTAAGCAGTGCCCCTTAGTACAACATCCAAACATGCCCTGAACACCTCTGGAGATGGTGACTCCACCTCCGTGGCAGCTCATTCCTGCACCTGACCATCCTCCCAGAATTTTTTTTTCCTAACATCCAACCTGAATCTGCCCTGGTGCAACTTGAGGCCATTCCCTCAAATCTTATTACTAGTTACCTGAAAGAAAAGGCCAACTCTCATCGTATCACAACTTCCTTTCAGGGAGTTGTAGAGAGCAATAAGGCCCCCCCTGAACCTCCTCTCTAGACTGAACAATCCAGTTCCCTCAGCCACTCCTTATAAGACTTGCACTCCAGAACCCTCTCCAGATTCTTTGGCTTTCTCTGAACACAGTGGCCTCACCAGGGCTGCATACAGAGGGATGATCACTTCCCTGCTCCTGCTGGCTGCACTATTTCTGATACAAGGCAGAATGCTGTTGGCCTTCTTTGCTGTCTGGGCACATTGCTGATTCATGTTCAGCCAAGCATCAGCCAACATGCCCAGGTCTGTTTCTTCCACACAGACTTCCAGCCAGCTGGATGGATTTACACCTGTAAAAAGTGAGATCAAGTACTCGCCACTTTGCTTGGAGAAGACAGGTGATTAAGGTAGTAGATTAAGAGAAATGATAAACCACTACCTAGATATCATCATTGTGTTGATTGAGAATAATGGAGAGGAAAATAGCTGAGACAGCGTATCTGTCAGTAAATGGAAATCAGATATTATACTGAAGTTCTGGACTGTACTTCATGGCATATTGACAGATCAGCAGTCTCATAATTTGGCTTCAGTGGAGTTCTTCATAGGGTTGAATTTTATCCATTATTTGCAGTATTTGAAAAGGGGTTCCTTGTCCGTAGGCAGGGAACATGACAGTGTAGAAATACCTTTCTGCCTCACACTGATTGATTTTCCCTATTCCGTAGTGGAAGTCCTCACCCACCAAAAGCAGGAAAAAGAGCAGTACGGGGTTATGAACAAGCTTGTATTAGAGAAGCTGCCAGAAAGGAAGAAGAAAAATGACTTTTCATCCTACCCCTTTCTTTTGAATATCTTCTGCTGCTGAATCTGTAGTCAAAACTCCATAGTCTGGTCTGTAGAAGTGATACTCTTTCTTTAATGTATAAAAAGGTGTAGGGTGTTGTGATTTAACCTAGCAGGCAGCCCAGCACCACATAGCCATTTGCTCACTCTCTCAGCCACCAGACTGGGAGAGAGTTGGAAAAAGGTAAAACCACTAGAAGAGAAATGCAGACAAGTTAGACAAGAACTGAGGGATTGGGTAAGTATAAGGAGAGGTAAAAGTAATATTACAGAGAAAATGAAGAAGTGGAAATAGAGCAGAATGGCTCAAGTTTGAAGGAACCAGAACTATTCCAATGTCAGCTTTCTCAAAGACAGTAACAGAGACAATTGAACTGAAGAACACTCATCAGATAACAGAAAATCCCTTAACTCTGCTCTGAAACCCCTTAAGGAGATCAGACATAGTTTTGTCCTGTGCTAAGAACTGCCTCCCAGACAATTCTACATACAATTTTGTAGCTAGCAAAAGCAAAAGGAAGGAAAGAGTATGTTGCTTTATAGACATGAACTATAGTAGTCCATTTGGTTTTAAGAACATGGCACTGTTCCCATCTAATTTTACTTGTTACTGATAGGAATAGTCATAGTTTGTCATTCTCTTCTAAATATGTAAGCAGATCCAGCTTTGGAAAAGCTTTACATAAACTGGAAGCAATTTGGAACAATTTAAGGGGGGGAGTTGCAGAAAAATGGAGGAGGTTGGAAAAGCACTTTAAGATTCAAATGTTGCTAACGGCAAGAAATAGTGAAGAATGATGTGCCAGGGGAAAGAGCCCCAAAGGAGAGCAACTATGATTAATTAAGGAAAGTAACCTTTGCAATGGTGCATTTGTGCACTAAGTCACTAGAAGTGACTGTCCAGTATAATTTAATATACACTTCTTACTTGAGATTTAGGCACTTTCAGGTTTTGCAGTTTATTTGGATGTTATTTTTTGCAGACTGATTTGGCAGTTCACTCATGCTATTGACCTACTTCTCTACCTGGTGGTATCTGTTGTAACCAGTACCTACATTATTCATTCTGAGATGTACCCATTCCACAGTGTTACCCTCTGTTTAATTCAGGGATGCATGTCATGGCAGCAACACATGTAAGCAAAGAAAACTCAAAGATGAGCCTTTTCAGCTGTGCTACATGACAAACTGCATACCCTGATTGCCTATTATAGCCCTCACAGCTCATCCAAAGTACACCTGCATGGGGTCCAAGAGTGGGCCTGGGAGCCAGAAATTCTTGCAGTGCAATCTTACCTCTTCAGAGATTATGACTTTGGGTGAGTTGCAAAATTTGCTGACATTCCCATCTGTACATGAAGAAATTAGTCCCTGCCTCGTTGCTTTGCAGCTGGTCTTTGGCTGCAGAATTAATAACTGGGCCTCAGGAATTTCATTTGAAATAATGTATCAGAACTGAAGAGCTATGGATCATGAAATCCCAATCAGTAATAGTTCTTTGGCCACACAAGTCACTTTTTCATTATTATTACTTTATAACATTTAAATTATATATAACCAATGAGCATTATTGAAGGATTAATCGGGACTTGTTTTTCCAAGAAAATGACTCTGGAGCTTGAACTCTCGTATTAGAGATTTATGTGAAGCTGAAATATATTGACATTCCTTTAAAATCAAAAGGCTGCTTGTTATATTGTTTCCTCCTCATTTTCCAGCTCACAGTATAATGTGCAAAAAGGAGACACAGAATATGGGGAACGAACATTCTGTTCATCTCAAACTCTCCTCTGAACTCTGTTGGATGGTCCAGGGATATGGATGTGTTTTTGAAGTAAAGTTAGCCTTGCAGGTGCTCACCGATCATAAACCCACTGGATGCCCTATAAATCAGGCACAGAAATAGCTTCAGATAAGCATATAGCAGCCAAAATGAAAATATGATTGTACACACATATGGAGTTCTTTCTCACTGTACATAAATCACTCCTATTGTAATTTGCGTATCTGTTCTCTTCTGTGCTTATTTGTCATCAAGACATTGAAGTGTCTGATGGCTGTCAGAGAGATAAATCAAAAGTCACACTGGAACCACTGTGATGCAGTATTTTCCACCAGTGTTCTGAAATTAGATATGATCAGTACTAAATTCCCAAGTATATTTACAACATCTGAAGTTAGAAAAGCAATGGTTTATTTTTTATGTTGTCTGATATTTTCCAGCTGCTTTTAATATGTGCATCTCTTGAAGGGATCTGTATGAGTCATCGGCTTAGTATATGAAGCTTACTTCTCATTGTTAACCTCTCATAAGTCACCTTAGCAGTGACTGCTACACTTTTCTGACCGAGGCAATACTAATAAATCCCTTACGTTAAGACACAATGTAATACACTGCTGCTGGAAGATATGGTTCAACACTTCCTTGCATTTGAAGAGATGCTCATTAGGGCAATCACTTGACAGCCACTGTCATAGTGAAGGTCATAGCAGAAGATAGGAAATATTATTCAGAATATTTAGGGAGCAAAGACAGGAAAAATCCCTTAAGTCATGCTTGTCCTTTGTACCAGGTCAGAGACTAAAGGCTGCCATTGACCCTGCCTTATTATTCCTCTTCTCTCTAATTCTTTCCAGTAGCATCTTCAAACCAGATGGTTCTTCCTCCATGTCAATGATCTTGAAGGTATTCATTCTCTACCCTAGTGTAGGACAAACACTGAATCATAGAAATGTCTCCATTGGAAGGGACCTCTATTTTAAAAGAAGACACTGGAGAAGACACTGTTGTGGCCTTTCAGTATCTAAGAGGGGATTATAAGAAAGATCTGTTGTGATAGCACAAGGGCAAATGGATTCAAACTACAAGAGGGGAGACTTAGACTGGATTCAAGGACAAAAGTTTCTTTCAGTAAGGGTGGTGAGGCATTAGAACAGGTTGTCCAGAGAACTGGAGGAAGCTCTTTCCCTTGAGACATTCAAGGAAAGACTGGACTGGGATCTGAGCAACCTGATCTAGCTGTAGATGTCCCTGTTAAATGCAGGGGAATTGTGTCAGATGACACTGTCACTTCTTTGCAACTTCCTTACCACTATTAGAAGTCTGTGATTGTATCCCCTTTAACTTTTCCTAATCTAAGGTTAGCAGAACAATTAACTTCAACATTTCCTCATGTGTCGCATTCTCAAACTATCTGATCCTATCAGTGGCACTCTGCTGGGCCATCTCCATTTCTTCAAGGTTTCTCTTTAACTGAATAGATCAAATCTGGAGCCATGGTTCCAGGTGTGGCCTGATACATGCTAACTGGAGTAGAATGACCAACCACATCCCTTGATCTGCTGGCTACAGGCTTGCAGATGTGGCCCAAGACCTGTTTTATCTTCATTGTTGCAAAGGCACGTTGCTCCCTTATGTTCAACTTGCTTCCTGTCCAGGGCCTCAAGTCATTTCCTGCAGAAAATGGAAACAAATGGGCAGATATGGACAAACTCAGTACAAGATATACCATTTGATCCACATACTGTTGTCACAGCATTGGTACCTGTGATCTCATGCTCTGCCAGTATATTGCACTTGGGACTTTGACTTTGGAATCTTTAACACAAAGGTTACTGCACTGCACAGATTTTAAACAAGAAGACCAATGTGATGCCAAAGCCAACCTCTCTGGCATTAAACAGGAGGTAGGTTTTGAACAATGTATTCAAGCACACTTCGATGCATGTATCCACTTTCTCTCAGCTTATGACAGGGGAGGTCCCAGGCAAAAATCAGGCCGTGAACATATAATTAAAGACTATGAATATTATGTATGTCATGTCTGGCATTTGATTAACATTTGTACTTCCTAACTAACACTGGAGCTTCTTTTTACCCTCTTTTTACATTTCTCTTATTTCTTACTGCTGATGAAATGTTATGACAATATGTTTCAGTTTAATTATGCATTATTCAGATTTTCTTTTCTAAGCTTTAAATAAGCCTTCAGTAAAGCCTTTAGGCTGTATTGAAAGTCCCTTGTTGCATGATTGACCTTTTTATCATTCTTGATTTTATAAAAGCCCTCTCAAAACTGCCTGCTCCCTCCTCCATAAACAGTCTGAGCCTTTCAGATCCCAGTTTCCAGAATATCTGTGATGAGGTATTTTCACCATTGCATCTCACTCCTTGAATTTCTCTTCTGCATTACCTCCTATGTTGCTTCCTGTACAACTGAATGCCATCTTTGTTTTCTTCTCTGCAGTCAAGCATTCTGCAACCATCAGCAGTTCACAATGACATTCCTCACCTTCTACTGAA